GTTAATTTGTATTGTATATTCTGGTTCCTATTAACAATAGGAACCTTTGCAATCGGCCCTGTATGTTAGTGCGTATGTCTGTGTGTGTTTTTACTTATTTGTATTAAAATTTGAATACAGGTTATAGGAATCAGAATAGGTTATCAAACTTCCATTCAGAGGCAGATTATATTTTCGTATTCACAGAAATGGTGTCCAGAATAAATGGAACATTGCTTGTATATTGCACTTTACAAATATTGATGATTGATTGATTGAAAGAAGATTTTTATTCTCTCCTAGTGTGCATTTCAGAGCAGTTATAGATTGATTGATTGATTGAAATAACTATAGATTACAATCCAGTACTATTTATTTCAAAACATGTGGTTGTAGATTCCTTGTAAATACATGTACCCTACTTTCGAATTGTTATTTATATGCATTGATTCTAAATATAAGTATTTCTCAAGAGGAATTCTGCTCCTTTTTTAGTATATAAATCAAGCACATCTGTTTCACTCAATCTACTGCATATTATTAATGTCATACCTTAGAGATATACACTATATTTAACTCTGAATTATGAAGAAAAAAAAATCAGAGGAGAGATTGTCATGTATCATTATACTGTTTATAAATTATATAAACTATATATGTTTGTGTCTGGAAATATAATATTTATCATGGAGGTAGTTTTCATATGTTGTTTAATCCCCAACTCCTTGTATATTTTCACTGATTTTTTTTTTCAGAGAAAATGCATGTGTATTACTTTAATTATTGTAAACCAGGTCATTTATGTTGGCATAAATTTTAGTTTTAATCTTGAGAAGGAAAAAAAAAAGAGAAATAGAGTACCATTTTTTGATGACTTTGTTACCAGGCAAATTCAGTGGCTGTAGATCGCATTTGCTGTCATTTTTTTGCATACTTTGTAATGGTTGAACCTCCGAGGTAGGCAAGACTTTAGTTAAACTTGTTTCGCGAACCCGCCGCATTCTTCATCATCATTGTCATCATCATAATCATCACCATATTCATCATCATAATGTCATTACATTACTTTCAGAGTTAATTTAATCATTTACAGTTTAACATTTAGGAAGAAACTTTATAGTTTAATTATAGGATGTTCTGTTTATGTTTCATTCAATATGTCTTGGAATGTTTATCAACTATTTTTTTTTCACTGCTCCTTTTGCAAGAGTCGACTAAACAAAAGTTAATTGAATTGATTAGTACCTCACGACTATTTGTTTGCAATATAAGGACATGGATGAAAATTGAATTCAACGGTCTGCGTATTGCCAGAATGATTTTGTTATTGATTTGAAACTTATCCTGTACACATCCTAGCGAGCTTCTCCATTTCCTGGCAACCAGTAAACACATTATTAAATTTTGCATGTTTTTGCGCTGCAGTGCAAAATATCTGCAAACTGGTCCAGTTATGAAAGGTCATGTTTCGTTCTTGATTGCGAACTGTATCGACAGTGAGCAAGCGTTGTGATGAATTTAATTACACGTGAATTATCGTAATCAGTTTCTGAATGTGACTCAGTTATAGCTCATATTTATTTGTAAACGAGTCTGTTCCTGCAAGTGTTGCATAATTGACTGAGTTTCATAGATTTTGTGATGTTTAATTTAGAGTGTGTTATGAATTTGAGTATTATTACTTTTTTAGTTACCACTTGTTACATTGTATCTGTACTATAGACATGACATGACATATCAATTCAAACTTTTTCTTATAGAATACTATTGATAAATTTATTGTCTGCAAACCTTATTTATCTGCTTTAATACCGTCTGAGCTATGGGTGAAAGGTTTATCTGTGTAAGTTTTTCAGTTATTTAGTGAATCAAATATTTGTACTTCTTACTAGGTTGCCAGGAAACTACTGTAATTCACACAGAACTATTTAATACTTTTTGCCAGAGATTAAATGAGGTTGAGGCATGTATAACAAAAACAATATTGTAAGCATTGATTTGATGCTCTTGATACAGAATTTTTTTTAAATTGGGTTATGTAAATTTCTGTTACCAAATTTATTTTAACATTGTATATAAATAAGCGGGGGAAAACAATGAATAATATGGAATTTAAATAAATGAAAACCACCTATCGGGTGTAATTACAAATAGAAAAAATTTGAAAAATATATATAAAAATATTTAGATATATATTATATATTAATGCTTGCGGTACACCACGTAGATTGTTCTGAAAAGAACTGTTGTTGGTTAAGAAAGAATATAAGATTTATAAAAGCGCACAAATCCGCTGCAGCAGTGCTTAGTGCAGATTAAAAAAATTTGAAGTGGGCATTATAATTATTATTATTATTGACCATTCTGCAATGCAGAACATGTGGCCGTCATTGACTAAGAAAACCTCTCCGACATCTCCTAAAATGTAGACAAAAAAAAAAGAAATGAAGCGATTGTGGCTATCGACCTGTCTGCATTATAATAATTTAAGTACATATAAATAAAAATAATAAAAATTTTAAAAATCCTCAACTTCCTATATAAAATAATAAAAGGTTAAATTTAAAATCAAAATGAAGTGGACATTAAAAGAAGCGATTTATAGAAAAGGAAGTATTTAATGTGAAAGCTAAATTGTTATGATGTCATCAATGTAAAGATGGGAAAAGCAAATTTATTAGTAGTTGAGTGTGATTAATTATATTTTTACAAGTCTTTCACTTGATGGAGATTGGAAAATAACTCCGATCTTTGGTGGCTTCTACTTAAATAAAATTTTGTCTTCACAATTGATTAAAGCAAACTGTTTCACAATCAGTTCTTATGTTCTAATCAGTACAAGGAATTTATTATGGGCCACACAAAAAAGCCAAAAATGTTAATAAAAGCTTTTAAATTAAATACAAGTTGTGACACTGCAAACACTAAAAAAGTTAAATGTTTTTGCTTTGTTTCAATGTAATTTCTGTATGTAGGTATCCCAATGAAACCCGTTTTGCGTTACCACAGTCCGGAAAAATTCATGAAATTTGATGAAATGACATGATTTTGATGTTGAGAATAAAATACTCATTGTGAATGTATGTCAATAAAAATAAGATATCTTGAAAGAACTGGCTTTATTCTTTACTTACATGCATTTTTTAACAATATTGATGAAGTATTTGCAGAGTAATAGGTTATTAAATCTATATAATACTTTCATTTTTGCAAGTTGTGAAATCGATATAATTATACTTTGTTTTCCTCTGTCTGTCATTCACACAATCAAAATTAATTCCATTTGCAAAGCCTTATATATTTATGCCATTTTGAGTACATTTGTCATGTGAAAGGGATTACCTTTTTTTAAAAGACATTGATTAAATTTACTATTAGCATAAGTGGAATAACAAAATCTAGTGGGTTCCCCCAAAAATACCTATCTATTAATCTCCTGTATTCTTGAATTTTTAGTTTGAAAAGATACTTGTATAAATTTTTAATCTTAACTTAATAAACATCACAAGTAGTTATTTAGTATCTTTGAAGGTAAATGACATTTAACTTCTGTAGGACAAAAACCTATTGTGTGTCCATATATAGCCATGATGTGCCTATATATGGTCAGGATGTGATGTCATCATGACCATATTTAGTATTCTTTTATTGTCAATTTCAAAGGAGACAAAGGCGACCCTGTTTTGATTTTAGATTGTGCCATTGATGGAAAATACCTAATGGAATTTTTTTTTGTTCTTTCTGGTATGTAAAATTTAAATGACAAATACTACGTGTATGTGACAGCATGTAGGTAAAAACCAAACAAACAGTATTGATAGTATAATACCATAATAGATTTTCAGTTCTGGGAATTACCCATTGAGCAATGCTACGAAATATATACATACAGCATTGAAGAATCATTGATGCGTAATATTTAACAGAAAGTAGTGAAATTCTCGATAGTTGCAATCTGTGATGGAACCTTTACTGCTAGTAGTTTGGCCTACTCAACAATTTAACCTTCGGTTAGTATCAAGTTCGTATATATATTATATATTTTCTGTTTATTGCTTGTACTTAATGTTATGATTTTTGTTTATAAGTCTTATTATTGATCATTGGCGTTACCAGTGACGTTAGAGAAGTAGATTTGAGTTTTGCACTAATCCTTGTTCTATCTAATCCTAACTAACCTACCCTACTACCTTGAGATTGATGGTTCTTGCTATGAGGAATAAGTTCCCAGCTCATACAAATTTATTCTAGCCTATACTAGGCTAGTGCTAATTGACCCCTGAGAGTGATGTTGTTGCTGAGGGAAATAGGCCTCCTATATAGTATAGGTTTTTAGCCCATGCCAAATTTTTCTAGCCTAAATATTAGTATAGTACGCTGGGCTAGTACCGGTAGTAATCGTTCCTTGAGAGTTGCGTTTGATTGCTTAGAGAAACATGTTTGCCAACCCATATCAATTTATTGCTATGTTATAGTATATTGGCTTAGTTTTGATATTATCCCCTCCCATTTAAAGAGATGGGTTTTTCAGTGGCAGGTCCAGGGCGTGACAAAAAGAAGGTTCTCCCCCTACCAGCCTGGTAGTAGATAAAAACTCACTAGCCATGTGAGAAATCATTTAAATAAGAGATCAAAAGGGCTACACATTCTATGTGGATATCCCCATAAGGAAACACTCCAAAAAGGCCTTCCTTTCTCTGACCACTCCCTTCGGAACATAGATCCTTGATTCACGCCACCCCAATAAAAAGAATCTGAATGCAGAACTATCTGTGCTAGGAGAAATAAAATGCCAGCTTATGGTGTACTATGTCACTAATGTAAGATAAGCATTTAGATAAGTGGGTAGCGCGATAATATAGAAATAGCAACAAAGGTGTTTTGATACTTGCTGGTAGGTTTTATATTGAAGCTATTCATTCTGTTATTGTCAACAAGTAAGCGTGTTAATGAAGTGCTTGGGGTTCAGGCTTTGCATATTCAATTGTACTGTAAACACCGTCTTTAAGAAGATGCTGTAAAGGGGACAATTAATTATGGTTTCACTAAGGTATGCTATTCTACCTTCTGTTTATTATTTGATGAACAATAATGAGACTTTATTTATGTCTATTTTATAATCACTTTCAAATAGCTTTGACTACCTGTTGTAGGAGTTGATACTAAAGTCATTTATTTTAAGTTGCAGATAATGTTAAATTTAGTTTTGTTTAAAATTGTATCTGTTTGCCGATAATTGTTACTTTTTATTTTATATTGTGCTCTGTTAAGTGCTTTTTGTTCTTTGTCAAAATAGGTAGGCCTATTTGAGTTAGCTTGTATTGATACTTATATTTTTAATGTAATTAACAATTTTATTATTGAGTAACAACAGTTATGTTATGATTTATATTAACACTTTGCAAAATAATTTTAGTGTGTGGTGGAATAGTAAAATTTTTGATTTTCCATGATTTTTTTCACCTATTCTGAGTAAAGCAACATTTGGAACAGAAGAAATTTGCTTTACTTGCATAGCGTTATCTAAAAACAACTAAAATACAGAAAGTATTCAGTTCAGCACAAAATTTGTAATTTTAAGGGGATTTTGTCATTCATGTTTACAGCTACCATAAAGTAAAGTAGATGATATTGTTTTGTAGTGACATTTATAAGGGAATTTCCCCTATATACCAGGAAGTGATCAGTGTAGCATTAAATTTTGTCAACTCAGATCTTTAACATAGATGTCTTGCAAACCTGACATTTTATCATTATTTTAAGGCCAAATAATAATAATAATTTAAAAAAAACAAAAAAAAAATATCCTCTAGGATATTTTTATGTTTTTCTTTTTAAATTTACATGAGTTAAACACTTGGAAATTATGTAGATATTTTTAATAATCAGAAAAGGCAATGAATATCTGGGTCATAATGCCTAGCTATGTTAATGATTGTATGTTGTGACTATTTTTGTGAAGAATTAATCATGCCCGTAAATAGGGTTCTTTAAGGATTAAGTTGGTCCTTTAATATCCAGGAGTCCAGCAGTGCCTAGGTGGCATGTTGGGGTTCAGGACAAGTGCTCTTCTCGGGGTCAGGGGACGAAATAGTGAATCTAATGTTTGATTTTTTTTTTTTTTTTTTTTTTGAAGGAATGAAGGGGAGAGAGCAGTTCAGTTTTCCAGAGGTGGGCCGGGGGGTGGAGGTTTTACTTGAAAAAGGGGGTTTGTTTTAGTGGACATTTTATCAACCTTTGCTTCCCTTCACCTTGAAAAAATGTTAATGGGAACCTGGTAGGGTATGAAGTGTTCGGAGCAAAAATTGTAGTGTTGCATTTCACACATGGCTAGGAAATGAAGAAGGTTGAACAATGTGCATGATTGATTCTGTGTTCGATTACCAGGGGAAAAATGCTCAAAGCAATTCTTCCTGAAATGGATTTGTGCGCTGTATAAATCCTCTAAAATAAATAAATATTTAATAACATTAGTGGAAATCTGTCAAAAATCGGTTCCTTTTGTGAGTTCTTACAATATTTTTCTTTAACAATGTATTATCTGACATACCAAATACTGTACTGTATGGGGTTGTTTCTTTTCACTACTGCATGGCGGCTTATACATTATTATGCATGGCTTACTGGATATCAGTATGCATGACTTATTCTACATTATTAGGCATAATTAAAAATTGTTATGTATGGTATTTAATTCTACTCGATTCATTCTTTTACAAGAGAATGTTACATCGCATAGAAAATGGTGTGGCTCTTACGCTATACATTGGTTGGAAAATCGACTATTAAAGTAGAGAATAATGATGCCATGATTGAAACTTTAATTAATTGCTATAAATTGATTACTATTTATGACTATGATAGTAAATTGTGTATGTCGTATGTATATATAAATGATACCGTAGTAAATTGTGTGCCGTTAATATAAATTGTTATGAAAGATTTATATAATGTTTATAATATTAACATACATTAATTTACATGACTGACATAATTAAATAAGTATGACCTTATATACCTTATAGTATCATTTATATGACTTATACAATTATATGTAACTTTTTACACATTATTTATATAAATAATATCTCGTACATTTATCATATAAATCATTTATCATACGCCATTACTTATTAATAACATAAATAAGTTAACCTTCCTTTACTATTGTATAATTTTTATAAATTATGTATAACTTAATGAATTATTACTTTTATCAAGTAATTTTAAAGCAAATATCTTCTGTTTTCTGGTGTTGGGGAAATGGCTTCCTGTAGCATTCTCCCCTAAAGAAAATCTACTCTAATTAAAAAAGTTAAAAATAGAATTGTATTAACTATTTATTATCGTCATTAAATTAATAATTAAATAAGTATGACCTTATATACCTTATAGTATCATTTATATGACTTACTTATACAATTATATGTAACTTTTTACACATTATTTATATAAATAATATCTTGTAAATTTATCATATAAATCATTTATCATACGCCATTACTTATTAATAACATAAATAAGTTAACCTTCCTTTACTATTGTATCATTTTTATAAATTATGTATAACTTAATGAATTATTACTTTCATCTAGTAATTTTAAATCAAATATCTTCTGTGGGTGGTTTCCTGGTGGTATGGAAATAGCTTCCTGTAGCATTCTCCCCTAAAGAAAATCCACTCTAATTAAAAAAGTTAAAAATAGAATTGTATTAACTATTTATTATCGTCACATGTGTGAGTGTAGGTGGACAATGGTCTAAAGAAATCTACAAGTATCTAATATAAGGAAAATGAAACTTAAATTATGTAGCAGTAGCGTATAAAAAAAAAGTAACTGCGATGTTAGCTAGGACATAACAGATTGAGATTTGTGATAATTAGCTTGATGATAGCGTCTGCTTACGTATCTATCCTTCGTTGTCGTCAAGGTAACGCGTAGATCTTTTCTTTTCTAAAGCCCTGTCCTATCAAATTTTATGTTGCTTGCCCAAATTTGGTCACGATGACATCACATCACGGCCATATATAGGCACATCATGACTATATATGGGCATACAACAGTTTTTTTGTGAAAGAAAATTTGATAGTCTGACAGAGCTTAAGTTTATTAAGTATATTCTCACTTGTCTCATTTTGAATTTGTATGCATTTTGTGTGGAATTTTATAGACATACGATTATTACCACTCAGGGACATTTTTTGTTGTTGAATGATAGTTCATTTTAGACACCAGAGCTACTATGTTTTTTTTTTATTAGATGGATCATGTGCATGGCTGAGGGCCATTTTATTGCTATAAATATATTCCAAGTTATTTAATCTTTTAAATAGAAAGTATTTGTGTGTTTAATATGTAACATTATTATGTGATTATTATGTTATTATTATGTAACATGTTATGTTTAATATGTTACATAATATGTAACATTAAATATTATTTTTGACATGTGACAGTATGTATGGCATAATATTGACATTGACATTATTATGTGACATTATGTTAGACATGTGACATAATATGAATGACATAATATATATGGCATTATGTTTGATATTATATTTGATATCGATATTATATGTTAAATATTATTGACATAATGTTTGACATTTGTGACATTATGTTTGACCTATTTGACATTATATGTGTGACATAATATATATGACATTATATTCTATATTATATTTGACATCATATTTAACGTTATGTTCTGACAATCAACATTATGTGTTATAATTATATGTGACATTATGTTTGACATGTGACAATGACATATATATGACATTATATGTCACATTATTATGTGTGATATGTTGAGGCTATGAATGAAGATAGAATATGTTTTGTTCTCAGTTTGAGATTGGGGACTTCCCCTAGTATTTCACAGCAGGTGTGATGAGATTCTATCCTGCCCCTTCAACAACTGTAAGTACCCCCTAGGGGCATCCATTACCAAATAGGGTAATTACACTTGGTTGTAAGAGCATTGTAATCAAACTCCGAAGGTCACACGTTTGAATCCCGTAGTGGGCCTTATTTTTTCAAGCCAGATTCAAGTTGTTATAGCACTTAATATCACCATAGATTCTGTAGTGCAGTCGCAGAGTAAACTGAACATTGTAATAAATTAACACATAGAAAGAAATACATCTTTTTTAATAATTGGAATTTGGAAATGTCAATTAAAAAGAAGAGGAACATTTTCATTCTCTTTCTTTGAATCAGAATATTTTGAATTTGGATTAATTAATCGATGGGTAATTTTTCATTTCTATCTTATCCACACAATCTTTACAATGACACTCGGCAGATTTGAAAGAGGCATCGTACGAAACAATCTCAAATTAGATAAGGGATCAAAAAAATTAAAATATAATTTGCAATTAATATTACATAATTTATAATTTTTATATAAATTCTTTAAAACTATTAATTGACAAAAATATATTGAATGTTAAATTAAAAATATAAACAGAACTGTTTATTAAATATATAAGTTAATACATTAAAATATTATTATAATTTTGTATATAAACACTGTGTATAAAAAACTGTTTTAAATGACAAAATATACTAGAATGTTTTTACCATCTTCTTGTTTATACCATTTGAATTGAAAACAACAGTTATGTCCTTAGTTAATGATGTCTAAATTAGAAGATGTTTCTCGTTGTTAATCTCGGATTTAGAACTAGCGTGAATGACCATCGTTTGATAGAATCGCTGTATCGTGCTATAGTGCTGCAAGCGCAAGTAATAATTGCCACTCTGCGGGGCTCAGCCAACCAGCCAGACCCAAGGTTATAAATCTATCATTCAATTAAATCTAGTTCACGTTGTAGAGGTTTTGTGCGTTACTTGATTCATGTAATGATGTAAAAAAATTACCATATCATTTATTAGATATGGCGCAATGTAATTGTAATAAAATCAATATTGTAGTACAAAACTGAATTATGGAATGGTGGCGAGTATGAATAAACCCAGCAGTCAATAACAATAGTGTAAAAAAAAAAACCATCTTCAGTAATGACCTACATTTTTCATT